AGGTGATTTAGGCAATATTTTAGGAAGGAGGTGAGTATTTATGTTATTTTCCATTTGCTGGGCATTCACTCTCAACATATCAATAGTTAGGAATTTCAATGAGAGTCAGCAGACTGAAATCTGTCTACACTAGATCTTATATCTTTAAGGGCTGCGATACTGCTGCTTAATAAAAGTGGTAACGACATTGTCTTAAGTGACCAGAAAATGTGTATCAGTAATAATATTATTTTAATTCTCACAGTAGCGCAAATAAATACTATCTGAACCTAATTAACACTGCTTTGAACTTCTCCAGAGCCTTACCCGTAACCTGTCTGGTTAGTTCATTGATATTTCTTTAGTTATATTCTGTTCACATAAATAAACAAATAAATAAGTTAATAATTTGCTGGTGAAGGTTCTCAGTCATCTAAGTCATTCCCAGGATTGGATAATATTTTGCTACATGTTTTGTCTTTCATTAAAAATTATTTCTTACAAAACATTTAAAGTCATCAATAATAACAATAATAAAAATTAAAACCAATCCACTGGACTTGGTTTCCGAGTTTGAAGACGTTTCGCTTCCCATCCAGGAAACTTTTTCAACTCAAAATGTCAGAAATAGAATTTGTTGGGCTTCTGTTTAAAGCCTCGAACCCAACGCTATTCCTGACATTTTCTTAATTGAAAAAGCTTCCTGAATGGGAAGCGAAACAGCTTCAAACTCGGAAACCAAGTCCAGTGGATTGTTTTTAATTTTTGGAAAGTTAATAAGTTTGATATATAAAAATAAATAAATAAAAATAGGTGCTTATGGAGCTAAATCTATGCTGTAATAACTTAAACACATCCAATCCTGGGAAGCTATTGAGCAGCTACTTGACCTGAATTTTATTTAAGTGTAAAAGAATAAAGAGACCGTCTACAAACCGTGTAGATTTCTACTGATAATGATTTTGAAAATTATAATTTCGCTTTACTTTCACTTTTAAACTATGTGATCCTTTTCCTTGGTCTACAGCATAATAGCTCCAACAAACTGATTGATTTTCTGTTAGTATGCAATAATAACTGCAATAAACTTCAATAAACATGAAAAACTTCTACTCAATGCAATAAAACCTTTTTAAATGACACACCGGTAATCATACCCTTTAAATTTCATAAATTTAGAATACTTTAAATAGATAAAGAATTGGAAAATAAACGGAACAATGCTATCTAATAAAGTAAATTAATAATATCCTGCTACATGTTTTGTCTTTCATTAAAAACAATTTCTTACGAAAGATTTGAAGTCACCAATAATAATAAAAAAAAATAACCACGGACGTACCTAGCACGTTTTATCATTTGCACTTTTATATCCTATAAGTTATTGTGGTTTAGAAAACATTTTTTGTTTCACCTATATAATATCTTTATTTTATTTTTTTATTTTTATTCATTTTTTTTTTTTTGCTCTCTCAGTTCTAAAGTCCGAATCTGCCAGCTCTACAGCAGCCGCAGAGGAAAATGACTGAATGAAACAAAAGCTGACGTTAGCTTTAAGAGGAAGGTAACATTAGCAGGATTAGCATGAACCGGTTAGCATAATAACACAGGGCAAACAAAGGCGCCATGAAGGCAGTTATAACACGGTACGACGTCACAGGCTCGGTAGGATTAAAGCAGGTTGTTAAACACGATCATTAGCTTCTAACAGGAGGCAGAAATGATTTAAAACAAAGCTATTATTTTACCTTTATATGAGGAGCTGAAATCTGTAGTAGGATGTGAACCTAGCACTTCCTCTATGTTCAGGCATGCGCACTAACCCAACATTCTGTGTAGTATTTTTTTTTTTTTGCATTTACAGCGATTTGATTGGTTGTTTATGGTACATTGGAACCAGCGTCGGTTTCAGACCTAAAACTAACAGTATAGTTGTATATATAATAGAAATACTTATTGACTATGATTATAATAATAATTATTATTATTATAATTATGATCAGGAGTAATAAGAGTAGTAGTAGTTTTTCTCTGATAGCTTTTTATTTTGCACTGATGTCAGATAAACTGTCTCCAACCTTCTAATGTGTTCATCATAAGAGAACAGAGACACATACAGGCCAAACAACTCAATTAATCAATGTTTATTTATATAGCTTTATACAACAACACATGTGGTACACAAAGTGAAAAAGATGATGAGACAAAATCAATCAGAAATATAAAAAAATATAGGAAAATTATGGAGGCATATTCTGCCGTTGATTCTACATATAAATAACAGGTTCCTTTTTTTTTGTTATAATAACAGGCAAGGGTGCGGAAGCAAAGTGGAGCAGGACTATCCTTTGTGGAGGCACAGGCATAGATTAATGCAAATTTAAAACACGGAAAGCTTCTGTTATTCAGGTGCTGTTAACCATCATACCTGCTGAGAACACAAAGCTATGAAGGCCTTACTAAAATAACACAATTAGCACTTCCTAAGACAGCTTTCAAGAGGAATAGATCAAAAATGCAAGAAGTTTCTGGGTAACATTTTCATCCTCAGATGAGGGATTGTTTATCCAGAGGAGCCTTTGCTGTGAATTACGTTTGTGTTGTTTTTGATGTTAGTTTTTTGTAAACATTATCAAATAAATGTGGTTATGTTCAAATTTTAATGATTGTAAATATGTTAATCATTATATATTTATTATTTATTTTGTAATAAAAAAAAAATGTTCCAAGCAGAAAGAGTTCCTTAACCCAGAGTTTATTACCGTACAACTGGTCAGACTGGGCCCACTGTCTTTTTGGTGTTTCTCTTCTGCCACACACCTGACCTAAATTAATAGATATGTAAAAGACTGGATGACACATATAAGGTAATGCCATTTGAATCAGATGTGCTGAGGCAAAAATACATTTCAATCCTAAAGGACTGTCGACCCTGGAGATTAGATCGGGGAACACCATAATAGGCTACACAACTATAGCTTTAAACAGAAAACTTTTAAGTCCACTTCCCAAGAGCTGTCGTCTTGCAACATTTAGATTCAAATGCCTTTATTGTCCCACAATGGGGAAATTCACTCTCTGCATTTAAACCACCCCCTTGATGAGCAGAGGGCTGCCATTATGTGGCATCAGGGGAGCAGTGTGGGGTTAAGGGTCTGGATCAGGAACCCAGAGTGGAGGCTGTGGGGAGGGAATCGGGTATTTACAACCTTCTCAGAGCACATGTGCACTGCTCTAACCGCTAGGCCTAGATGCAACATGCCTTAATGAAATCTCACTTCAGCACGTCAGTTTACTGAAGAGAGCTCTGCATAGGCCTGGTAGAATAGAATAGAATAGAATAGAATAGAATAGAATAGAATAGAATAGAATAGAATAGAATAGAATAGAATAGAATAGAATAGAATAGAATAGAATAGAATAGAATAGAATAGAATAGAATAGAAAATATGTACCTAGAAACATGTAGAGCTAATAAAAAATAGCTTGGTCAGGGGCAAAGGACTGTGTCGAATCTTTTTTCTAGTCCTTATAAATCTATTGAAAGTGATTGTTTCAGAAATGCACAATATACCTTCATATTTTTGCATAAAATATGTAATAAAATTCCTACAAAATGCTTTTTCCAAGACTGTAAAGAAAATTGTTAAAATAGCATCAGGAGCATCTTGAGGTAGTTCGACACAGTGATAGATAGGAAATGCTGCAGCAGATAGAAAGAAGGATCTGCAATTGCGCTACCTTGTGTACCAAGAATGCAGTAGTAATTTTCTACAGTTGCTCTCCACTTCTGCAACAGCTTAACAGAGACATTGTCCAATAATTAGTCTTATTTTGGCCAAAGATCTTGTATTTCCCATTCCAGCTACACTGAGTCAAGGATACATCCAAGGATGCAGCTGGCTTTCCAGATTATTTTATCGAACCGATCTTCTTTAAATCATGTTTAATTCATAGTTTGAGAAGCAAAATTTTTCCTGAAAATAATCTCTCCTAATTTGATTTGTGCTTATTTCATTGCCTGTCAGAGCAGTGAAAGGCTGTAGTGAATGCTGTAGTGTTCTGCATCATTATGCCTACATGTGCAGCAATGTCACCATCTTTCCGTGCCCTCTCTAAAAATTTGATAAATTAATAGCCATCTAAAAATTACATTTCAATGCGTAAGTGAGCAAAGAATTATTAATCACATTAATTATAAAGAAGGTCAAACCTGTGATCCTAATCAAATGAATCTTATGTTGGGACATCATCGTTTATTTTTGACCTGAGAATATGATGTACTAACAATTATACATTACATAAAAATTAACGTATTATACAGGTTATCTTACCAGAAAGAATAGTAAGAAGAAAATATATATAATCCCAATCCTTTCATTCATAAAACAAATGTTTATAAACATAAATGGTTCAAATCCACCTTCATATAACAGAATAATAAGAAACAAGCATTGATAGTTTTCTTTTAGTCTTTATGATACATTTTTTTTCTCAATCTTGTACAAGAACTGGTAATGAAAAAAAAAGATGGTAATTTAACGCAAGCAGTAGTCTCTCTATGTTGTGAAATCTATGTGAAAGCGATACAGATGAACACTACGAAGTATAGGAGGGACACCTTTGTTTGAAAATGTATTATAAAAGCACCTTAAGGCTTTTGGACGTTGTATGAAAGGAAGCAGATTTGTAAAGGTCCACAATGCTTTTCCTTTTACCATCTTGGCTGATTTCATTTGATTTTATATTAAATGAAGAAGCTTTGAGTTGAAGGTTTTGTCTTATATTATGCATTCACAGGTGTGAAGCCATTGAACTTAGGTTTGAAAGTTTTCAAGTTGTTTAACATATGAAATATTGCATTATGGAGGTCAATATCTTTTTGACACTGTCCTTGTTTTTACTGTATTTATTCATTATTAATATGACTGAGTGAATGAATAAATAAAGTTCCCATTTTCAGTTCTACAAAATGATAAATACACACCGAGCCTCTAAAACTTATTCTGTTTTTTCTTAAATTTTAGGTGACAAAAATGACTTGCATATTAGAGTGTTTGGGAAATTATGCAAATTTGTAGGGCTGCAACAAACTGTCTTTCACACTAATGATGCTAAGATGCTGGGAAACCATGACAGCCATCTGTTTGACAGTGAAATAAGAATCCAATCAGAGCAGTGTAAATCACTGAAGAGGGAAGCATAAAGAAAAACAAAATCTTGAAATAGTAGCAGCAAAATGTTTAATACAAATAAATGATGGCTTTTTACAGAAAACATTTTGGACAGAGTCCCAAACAACCACCCAAAGTAAATAATACAGTAAATGAGCATTGCTTTTAACCATGAGATTTTCCTCTTTAAATTAATTATCTAACCTATGTGACATTTTATTGTACTGGGTCACCTTGCCTCTACATTTAATTTCCCTCATGTTAACTGTTGAATGAATAGAATGATGGAAAGAAAATCAATTTCAATTAAACAGGATAAATATTGTTTAAAATCATATTTAAAAAAATAAGTCGTAAACAATTATGCCTTCGGGCAAGTATGGTCTCCTATAGTGGTCAGTAATATAGTTGATTTGAAATAAATACATTTGTAAATGTATAATTTCGAATAAACAAATCCAAGTTGTATAGGAAGAGCACCATGGGGATATTTATTTATTTTAAAAATAATTAAAAATATGTCAGTATGGGATACCATGCAGTCCATTTTGCTAGCTTTTCTTATATAACAGTAACCACATGAAATGATCAAAAATCATCAAAATTCCAAATTATCTGGCCGAAAACTCTTTCCTTTACTCTACTGATCTCTATTTGGAAAAGGCAGAATTGTCTCCAGTATGTCTCTAAATGGTTTACATTTGAACAAATTGGGCTCCATATGAAAATACCATCAAAACCTTCATGCCTGAGCTTTTATACACATTTGGAGTTAAATTACGTCCTTTTCTTAATCTATAGAGATTAATATCATGTCTGTCCACCCTTTGCAGCTGCAGCAGCCTCAACCCTTTTGGGGATTTCTGAGATTGTACGGGAAATTGTTACTATTCTTTTATGTAAACATTTTAAGATCAACTATGACGGGGAGAAGGACTGTCACAGTCTTGGTTTTCCATTTGTTGTCCTCTTACGTCCTCTTTCCCTAGCTCTGTTTTCTGCTCTGCCCTCACCTGTTTTCAATCCCCTCGTTAGCCCTCTCTTTGCCCCTGTCCCCTTTAAAAGCCTCCCTCTTCAGTTCCTGTTTGCTGGATCCTCGTCTAATGTCTGTCTGCCTACCTCATCTCTCCCTGGTTCGTAGAGTTTGGTTTTCCCCTGATGTCTCCTTGGTTCTGGTTCGTTTGTTATTTTGTTGGATTTTTTATTCCTGCCTCAGTTCCTGTGAACCTCATTAAACCCACCTAAATTCACCTCTGCCTACTTGCCTCTGCATTTGGGTCCTCAATCAAACACCAAACCCTGACAAGGACACATGGCTTATAGGTTCTGCTGTAATCTACCCTTAAGATGCTCTGTTGGATTTGCGTGAGGACTTACACTGCATGAAAAGTGGGATTTTCGTCAATATGCGGCACTGTAGATTGTCGTGGAACTTCAGGTTAGCGGCAGTTTACGACAATTTGCAGGCTTCGCCGAAAACTCCCGTAAATTGTCAGAAATTGACGTGGACTTTCTTGGGCGTTTTCCCCCCCAGCCCCCCCCCCATGGAATTCTAGGGGAGGCTTTAACATGTAAATTAACATGCTG